AATGCACCACACGGGACTACATCGGAGTATTCCACATGTGGAGCAGAAGCCATAAAGAGAATAACAATGGTAAAAGACTTTATGAGCAACCATGTAATAGTTATCGTCATTAGACTTGGTGAATCCCTTTATGAGTTCGTTGCGACGATTAAGCCATTTGGAATATCGTCTAAAGTGACTGACATTGTTATTATACTTTTGTGTTGGTAGTGAGTATATTCTTGCAAACTCCCTCACAAGTGTTGCTGTGCATTCTTCACTACTTCCAAGTAATACCAGCGTTATTGTATAATGAGGTTTCTGAATAGCGCAGTAGACGTAGTCAATTTGAGTTGGCTTCATGTCGGTGACTTCTTCGTAAGGAATCCATTCAAGTTTATTGTATTTATCCACATAACTGGATTGGATCAAGTTGTCAATGGTCTCTGATACTAACGACATAATAGTTTGAATTAGAAAATTCTTTTTCCGCAAATGCTGTAATGTTAATTCTCAACATGTGTGTTACATTACACATCGTTTCGCTAATCTAAAATAGGGGGCAATTATTGAGCCCCATTCCTTATACTACGCCCCGTCCAAGCTTTCAATGGGTAAAGAAGTGCTTTTACAGTCTAATACGTCGAGCTCCGAACGAAATATTACTACTACTAAATGTAATTAACAGTATAGTAATGGTTAATATTAATAGCATTATTGAAAACAAATTAATTCGCTTGCCAAACAACGTCCCAGCAGAGACCGTCCCCATATAAGGAAAGTGTTACACAATTCAAGTTTTTATACATTTAAAATACTTTTTCACAGAATTGTGTAGCTCATCGCTACAAAAAAAAAGTAATTGGGAATGCTAAGCACAGAATACTACTATATTTCTTGAATTCCGTTGAATCCCTCACCCTCGCGTAGCTATTACTTAACGAAAATGCCTAAGAATAAGCGTTGCACAGAATGCGATTCTAAAGACTCGGCTAAATTCCGTTCGTTGAGTGGAGAGAAATGGAGAGATGCTCTGAACAAAGGTTTAGTGAAGCAAATGTGGGAGGAAGGAGTTATTCTATGCAATACTTGTTACATGCAATTGAGAATCCATTAAGAAGTGGCGTTAAAAGAGCGAAAGTTGTAAATGAGGAAGAGGTATGAAGATTGAGCTAACTAAAGCCATCGAAGCAGCAGGTAAAATTCTTTATGAAAGGGAACAAAAAAGGCTCAATATATTCATTTGATCAAATGCGAGACTTGCTCCAAGAAAAGGAGCCTAGCCTAAAGGCTTTTTTCGATCAGCTTTATTTGGCAGCCCGACCAATGGAACGCAACATACAATGGATCGTATGAAAAGATTGATGGTTATCTTCTTGCTTCGCTAAATAACACAAAAATTAACTGTCTCAAGTTTGACCTGGCATATGATTTAGATTCAGCAAGCACAAGTAATGAAGGTCTAAACACTATGGCAGATCTTGGCGCAACAACGATTTCAAGAGCAGTAGATCGTAAGAAAAAAAGAATGTCAGATGAGCATGAAGAATACGTAAAAAATTGTCTTGTGGGCAATTTAGAAAAGGCTTTAATACTAAATATTGACGACTATCACAATATCCATGTTCAAAGGCAATCAGATACTACGAATACGTCTTGGGCAGTACATATGGCGACAATTATAGCAAACCCATGCTCTGCGCCAGCGATTCCGCGCGTAATGGAGCACTTAATCCAAAGATAAGTCGATAAGGAGCTGATTGTAAAACATCTTGATAGACGGTTTATTGCAAATCTTGGTATTTGTCACCATGCCAACGATGAACTCATTGATGAACTAACATTGCTATGATGACAGGGTAGCGGAAAAAAGAGGAGATCGACATATACGGAACGCTATTCTCTTTGACTTTACGGAACATAGCTTGAAAGACATGGGTGGATATATCGATGCTCTCCAAATCATTTACAATCAACGACTTATGCAAATATACCTTTCTGAATATGCAATTCTTTGTGATTACGTAATTGCGATTACTCTGATCGTTTATATGATGGCAGGATTTTGGCATGTGGACATGGTTATCATATTCATTGTTTGAACCAATGTCAATCTAAATGTTTAATATGTCTAGGTTATCTTCAAGGCGAGATAAAAAAAAACGTCGATGCGATATTGATGAGTATGACGAAAGAAGTGGTTGAAAACGAAACGATTGATGAAAGTAGTGAAAATGTTGCTGACGATGACTTAAATGATGTGAATGAGATAATAGATGATGCATTGATGATGGAGCGTCTATTAGAGTGTGCAAAACCATCATTCTTAGAACTGTAAAGACGTTCTTTATTACAATAAAATAAAATATAAATTCGTGTAATATGCTCACTTTGACTTTTATGGATTCTGGGCCAACACTAAGGCTTATTCTGACCGGAAATTATGCACAAACTGGCCGGAATTTTCTTGCTCCAAATCTGGATTTTGTACAACATTATCGACCATATGTGTAACTTTGACCGGTCTCGTCGAAACTACAGAACTAACTTGTGCACCAAACATAAAAATAAGACCAATACTATTCATAGACATTATCGTTATCGTCAAGATATAATGTCGAGCTTGAGCCGAAGTCAACAAAGCGATAAGCACCTTTTTTCCAATCAATTTAACCTCCGGAAGCCAATCTTACTCAGTAACGGAAAAAATAGTAAAAAACTGTATATAAAAAACGCTACTTTATTTTTATCTATCACCTTTGTAGGATAACAATCAGCACTATTTGAAGGGTAATTATCCCGATGTTTGGAGTCCTAATGATGTGGATTCAACGCAACGGATTAACGTGATAAGTAAAATTGTGATAAGACTTTACTGTATTGACATTCGTCATTACTACTCAGGAAACGATACTAGTTTCTCTTAAAAAGGAGAAAGGATTTTTTTTTATCAATACAAACCAAGACGCTACAAATTTTATTATATGTTTGTAATTGCATTTACGCTTTAACGGCATATGCGCGACAAGGAAAGGCCGCTTCTCTTTTGCGAGTGTTCGTAATGTCTTCAGTGATAGTTCATGCTTTGTCAATCGACGACGAATGGCACGAGTCTTCTTTTGTCGAAGATCGAGCGGGAGATATTTTCTGGAAAACGAAGAGTTTGGGTCTTTCTTCGATGTGCATAGAATTGACGAAGATAATCTCGCGTGGTAATAGACGTTACTGTATTGACTTGTGCAATATCCTTACGAACTTCACGGATCTTGGTCAGCTTCGAGGCTGCTCCACCGGCTATCTTTTGAACTTTTAAGGTGCCTAGCTGCTGCTTGAGCTCTTCGAGCAATTGCTGAAGCTCAACCTTGTTTTTTGTCCTAAGTTTGTAAGCTTTAGTAGAAGCGGCATTCTTACTCATTCAAGACGTTGGCTATAGAAAGACTTTATGAATTCAGAGTAAATGGATACTCGTTTATTGATAAGATAAGGAGGGTATCGATGCTCAGTCTACACTACGCTGCTTATATTACCGCTTGGCCTTACGATCGATACTGTAGAGAAATACGTCACCGTTAAACGTGTGATCTCATTGTTGCGTTTACTTTACAATATTAATATGCATGCAGGTGTGGGGTAAATATAAACAGTCACATGCATATTAATTGCATACAGTACAGTATATTAAAGTAATAAATGTTATTGAAGTGATAAATGTAAACACCCGAACAGCAGACCATACAGTAATTTCTCGATATTGTAAAGAAAAAACCCCATCCTGTCAACTTTATTTATCGAGGTTTGACCATAGATTATCATTAATTATTAACTGTTGAACATGCTGCAGTGGTTCACAATTTACACGTGCATTATTTAATGGTTGTGAGTTTATGACATTTGTTTAGTCCTTCATTTATGTGTTGAATGTCAAATTGTCATAATGCAGCAGTCATGTTGGCAACATTATCACTTATACTGTATATTGCACAAATTTAATTTTCCTATAATTGTTTTCTTTCTGTCAAATTATTGAAAACGGGTAATACTTTTTACTTAAAGCTTTCGAAGATTCTGTAGTAATAAGATTAAGTGTGGGTGAAGAACTAACAAAAGTTTATCCGTATAGTGAGTCATCGAATACCAAAAGCGTATAGTAATTGAATAATATTTGGCAACAAACATTTATTTATAGTTTATGAATTCGTTTAATTAGTTCTAAATTAAAAAGTGACGTACATTGACTCGTCAAATACCAAATCGAAGTATTGCACTGTTTAGTCCCCTTCAATTCTATAGAATAGTACACGTTGTTAGTATTATTCGTAAAGACTCTTAATTAGATATCAATGTTGGATTACGTTACGTATAAGGATTAGAAAAACGCGCATAATAATTATAAAGAAACGTCACTTAAACCTTAACATTCAGTCTTAGTTGATATTGTCGCTGTAGTAAGGGCAGCGATAGCTGAACTAATTAAGACAGATTTCCCTGTCGGCCGAACCGCCTACAGTTTGCCCCATAAATTTCCCTACTTAAATGCGCTGACCGCAACAATAAGCAGCATGTTCCAATGTTGCCAAAAAATGATTACAGGCGCGCGCGGAAACTTTTTGCATTTACCATCGAGACATCAAATTCTTGCTTATGCAATTTAGATGATAATGAAGAAACCTAAATTTTAATAGAAAGCCATTTCAAGACTATTGTTGGCTGCAACCCATTTGCTTAACTTCTTGTTCACTGCAACTTATAAAGTAGTATGATTTATTGTACTCACAAACAAGCTAACGACTCCTCACGATTAATATTGAGTGATGATTAATTTTGTCGTCTTTAGACATTATCAATGATGGATTTCTGTAGTAGCACGAATGGAACCCTTGAACCGCGTAAATAATGCACGGCAAAATTATGGTCGTTGTTTAAGTCCTTTATATTCCTTAATAACGAAAGGCTTTACATCGACTTACTGCAATTATTGATAACGAATTTCTGCTATGCGTATTACCTCATTACAAATTTTGTATATGGAAGTGCAAAGATTCAACGTATAGGCCACCTAATACATTGGGTTTCTCCACTTCGTAGACGAGAGTTTGAAACGCAGTGGTAAGTTAAATTCTCCGGAACATCATCGCTATTTAGTCTGAGCCAAAAACCGATATAACAGTGCTAGTATTAACTCGTAACTGTGCATGTACACGCGCCCCCACCCCGACGACTGGAGACCCTGAATTCACATAAACAAAAATAGGAACCAAAGTCTTTATTATAGTAAAGGCTACGATCCTATTAGTATATATACTCATGATAATTTAAAGCCTATAAACAATAAAATACTCTCAACAGTACAACGCTATTTATATGAAAAAAGAATATCGAAACTAGAACATATAACTATGCTAGTGCGATCGAATTCGCGATAACGGTTCTGTAAGATATCAGATGTAAACTGGTAAATTGTTAATAGTAAAGGCATTCGCTAGTCCCATAATAAACTCCTTATTCACCTATGTATTCCTAATAGTACCAAGCATTACTCAATTCTTCGATCCGACACGTTTTAGTATCCAGTCAATGTATGATTGAATAATTTCATCTTTCTGATATTCATTGTGAACTGTAACGGCACAACGTTTGGAGATTAGGACAAATACAGTTTGTTGTTAAAAGTTGGTTGAGAAAACCCACTTACGTTCATGATATAGCTCGTCCCATGGCTTAAACATCTTGTCAGTTGATGGAGCCTTTTCAAAAAGTTCCTTTGAAGCGGAAAAACATGTTACTGGATCAGTAGTCCCATGCGCCATCAGAAGAGGCTGTGTCAAATTAACATAGTCTGTATCGCGTATTTTCTGACCACAGTGCAAAATTTCCATCACTAATAATAAAAGTTTTGTTAAAAGCATATCTTGTTTGCGACTAACCATCACAGCGCTTACAAATTTGAATTCGAATCTTCTAATATCTAATCATACATTGAGAAATTGCCAGTTTTCCCGTGTTAAGTGGATCGTTTTCATATTTCTTTACTTCTGCAGGGTCATGGCTGATCCCTTTTGGATCAACATGAAGAGTAATGGTCATGTTTGGCATGACCATTGACCCCAAATCACCCATCCATCTTTGATACCATTTCGCTCTTATTGCAGGAGGCTGATCCAACCACGGAGAGCACGCAATGACGCCAGATATGTTATTTCTTTCCTCTCCCAATGTTGCATAGTGAAGCACAAGGCCGCCACCCTATTATTAATTAATCACGTGTGATGTTAATTCAGACCCAAAACATTCCTTTAATCAAAAGACGCAGCAAGCTACTCACCATGCTATGCCCCATAAGAAACTGGGGAATTCCTGATCTACGTTGTTTCCTAAGTGCATCAGTAATGTCTGAACAGGAAACACGCCATCCACCGGTGACGCCGAGATCATGATTCTTTTTACCAGTCTCACCAAATCCCCGTTGGTCATAACTATATACTTCTATTCCGGCTTCGGCAAACTTTTCAAATACGTGGCAGTAACGGTTTATGTGTTCACCGAAACCATGGCAAAAGACCACAGTCGCTACCGGCGAATCGTTTGCAGGCTGTAACATGCGTAGAATTAGCGCGGAAAGGACAGAGTTTTTGCGTAATGGCAAATTCCTATATTTACCTTCCATTTCTTTGTAAATATTTCCTTGCCGTCTGTCGTAGTGATCCAAGCTTCTTCAGTTTTAGTAACTGCCATAGGACCGTTTTATAGCGAATTACTACTACATGTCTGATTACTTTCCCAAGCTTTTTTATAGTCGAAGATAAGAAACAGTCACAGGACGATCAATTCCATGTGAAGTGAATCCCGAGCCCCAAAATAAACAAACGTAATAAAATTGGTGACCACAATAAGGTTACTGCGGTATATTGGGCTAAGCCTTTTCTGCCTTTTGCACAAATATCCTGCCCATTACAAAGGGCTCCTACACTCACCAGCCAAAAGTATTTGCGAAATCTGTCGATCAATAGTAAAGCATATGACAAATCTACTAACCTAATAACATTATTTTTTGTATCATTCTGAAGCTAGTTGACTCTACTTACAGAAAACATACTGTCGAGTTTAAACAATCTATATGTAGCGCTTCGGTGAAGTAGTGATATGTATATAATCATAAAATGTATGTGTAACATTACGGCCCACTTCATTGAACTGCAGCAACTTTCATACGTTTACTATTGATCGGCAAATACTTTTGGTATGATATTGTATGTAACGTGCTAATCATATGAAATTGTAAAATAAAATGCGTGTCGCCGTTAAGTCACTGACAATTGATACGTACGTTTGATATTACGTTAAATACAATTATGGGGCGGAAATAAAGGTCTCGGCGATAATAGTGGCAGGTTTATATTTAGGGATTTGAACAGTTTAATAATTGATCTACGTATCCATAATCTAAGTGAAATGTTACAGTGACAAACATCTCATATTGATAAAGGCTCGCAAAGTCAAGTTCAATCGTAGATCAGTCAAAGTCTCTGCAAACTATGATTTAATTACGCGCTAGTCGTAAAGAGATTCTATCCTCTGGAGCAGAACTTAAAATTCATACTTTATATAATGCGGAACTACATAGCAATCTGCAGTGGTTACTACAGTGGTTATTAGGGCGATTTTCAATGTCTTTATATCGCTCAATTCACAAATTCTAAATTTACGTTATAATCGCAGACTGTCTATAGGCACAAAAAGCACGTCAAATTTTGCAATCAAATATTTATTTTCATAACTCCAGGCTTTCGTGAAGCGCAGAGCGAAGCCATCGATTTCCGCGTGAAATTATACAAACATTTTGATAGACACTGCAGTTGCATGCGTTACGAGCGTTATTTATGCATGCAATAGCATGTGCATACCAAAGCGTGCTTCAGGCGATAATCCATTTATGTAAGCTATTCAACATTGTTACTATATATTTACTAATACTAGCGCTTTACTATATATATACTAGCTGCAAATAATTGGCACTTATGTACAAATAACTCAGCGGCCCAAACCCAACTTTTTACAAATATCATTACATTTATGGTTTGCAAGAAAACAATTGCTAATTCCCTTTACACCAAGGTTTGTCTTTCCGAATCTTAATGGATCAATGCAGTGTATCGCAGGATCCGTTAATAAAAACTCATCGGACAGCTCCATTCCTTGAAGATCATAAACCACCAGATATTTGTTGGTGTACTCGTACGTGAAATGGGCAAATGCCTCGAGAGAAGGACGAAGCTCTACAATCACACCACTATTCACATTGAATCGCTTAAACTCTGCATCTTGAAGTCTTGGCTCTACCGTATAATACTGAGTCTTAAAGTCGATAGTACTACGCAGCAGTTTTACTTCAAGGAAATTTACTTTTTTAACGTCCATTCGCTTTATCGCCAAATTAAATTTGACGGATAGATAATGCGCGACCGTAGAGACTTCCACTGCTTCAAGATATTTTTCAATGAGATTTGTATGTTGTTTAAGGCTAAGATATTCTTTTATAACGACTTTCCGGTTTGGTTCACTTTTCGTGTCCACGCCAAAGTATGCATATCTCTCGGCACCCGCTGAAAACGGTTCCATAGACATCTTGAAAGAGAAACTTTGAGAAAAGAGATTTGACTTGTTGAAATACCCGTGGTTCTTAAGCTCGCCCACCGTTTTGGGAGTACGGTACCACAACAACACTCCACTATGTGACTTTGATTCCTCCCAATCTGGTTCATTCGTATTCATCTCGAGTTTCTTCTGCCGCATTGAGTATACACTTTTGATATCGCTTCCTATCGTACTGGTAAGTGTGACAGAACTGGTAATGGCTGAACAAGCGGCTTTGTAAAGTCTGTCGATTAATGTAGTTGGATCTCCACCGATCAGGTCAAATACCGAAAATTCACCAATTATGCTACGGAAAACTTCAACCATTGTGTTCGTATCGTTCGTAACCTTTCCAAAGAAATAAAGAATATTTTCCATTTGCATCTCCTTGAGTACGCTTTCTGCCGTCAAGCCATTCGGGTCGCCATCTGGATAGCAGTCATCCGCAGTATGATAGCGTCGACCGTGCGGTGGACTATCACCAATATGAAGAAGAATGCGAGTCCCATTTCGCCAGCTCAGTTTAGTTATAGCTGCATTAAGCCCGCCAAGGACGTCCTCTGGTGTGTCACCACCGCCCGTTGCTGGTACGCGAGACAAGTAAGATCTAAACTTTTCACAGGAACTGGTAAAATCGAGGAGTTGCAGGCGTTTGTTTCCATCACAGTGATCACGATAACCGCAAAAGCCAACACAGATTTTGATACTGGGATTTGTACTCTTTACGTAGTTTACCACCTGCAAGATGCAATCTTTGGCAGCAGCGATGTGACCATGCATGGAGCCAGTGCAATCTAAAACAAAACAAAGATCAACTTCCATCGAGCGCTTTATTTTGTTGAGTGTCTTGGAGATGGCATTTTCTCGCAATGCGACAGCTTTTTTTCTTAACTCGAGCTCGGTATCGGCATGTGATTCTTTTTCTTTTACTTCATTCATGTACCGCTTCAGGCGTTCTTCTGGAAGATTTAGCTTTTCTAAATCGGGTATGAGTGATGATGAGACCACGGCAGTGCTATTTTCCGACTCGTCACCATCGATGTACCGCTTTGACGATATTTCGGGAAGATTTTGTTTCTCTAAATCAGATATGAGCGCTGAAGTAACGAGAGTAGCCGTGGTGGTGGCTGTAGTGATTTGTGTCGTTTTGGAATCAGATTTGCCTTCAGCATCTTTCGCTTTTGACTTTGATTTAGCCTTACGTCGGAAACAGAAAAACTTTTGCATGTTTGATATGATCAGAGAATAGAGAATTTTGATTCCTTAAATATTTGTTTTTTGCGCGATTGTCAGAGTCAACTTAATGTATTGATCGGATAAGTTGTACTCCAGTTATAACCGGTTTTTAACACTGTTTATTGTTTTGCCAAACTGAGGCGTAACTTTTGTGACGTTTATATTCCTAAATGGCATAACGATTGTGGTTTGGTGCCACAAATGTTGTACAATCTGTCATCTGACAAATTACATTAATCATATGACATGTGCATACGAAAACTGCGTAAACTGCGTTTATCCTACGCATTCGTGCATCAAACATGTATGGTTTGTCTTGATCTATATGTATACAATGACACAAACAATTTCAAATTCATTATCGGTTAGCATACAATACCGAAACGGCTTGAAGATCAGACCGATTGTATGGTCCATTTTTACTTTTCTTACGCATAATGCATGTTATTACAAAGAATCTGAAACAGGCGGAGTAAAAGGCGCTTCACTGTTTGCGGACAATGGAACAGATGATTGACCATTCATTATTACGTACGAATATTTTTCTTAAGGCTGGCAAGTCCGAAAGTATAATCGACTACGTAAGGGAAAACGTAAGCGGGCAGTTACTTGTTCACCTAGTCATGTGGTTCTTCTTTAAATGGAATTGCGTATAAGTAACTAGTTATTTCCGTGTACAGAATTTTATTATTGAGCTTTGTTTTATCACGCAGTAAATACTTCCTCGGAAAACCAACTTTTATCTCGTATTTTTAATGTCTGTACTAATTTGCGGACGTACGTTGTTTCAATCATGGCTTCGTCAGTTAAATGCCAATTAGAATGTAAGTTTTCGAAATCGCTAATAAGTTTGTTTTTTTTGGCAAACTAGTTGGAAAGAATATGTCACAATGATTAATGTTTGGGGTAAGCCGTGTCATATTAATTTCGGTGCTAAAGAGTTGCTATAAACATCTAAAATTGTTCTGTCACGCATTTCGTTAATAGCGTTATCAAATATTTATTTTTAATAAACTCGTTTGCTCTTTGTCGGGTGTTACCGTGTGAAGATGTGTTTGATAAAAAGGGTCTAACAAAAGGCTTTATCACTTTAGCTTGTCTGTATGTTTATTGTTATTTTTAATCGTTAATTCAAGAAATAGAAACAATGTTACAATAATAAACATACAGACTTACTCATTTTAGAAATATTTGTCAATCACACAAGAGTCGATATGCGGAACAGTTATATGTTGTACATGTTACACACATCTTGCTAGGTCCTATTATTACTATCACATAACAATAATAATATAACATTGACTAATTATAATACAATAAGCAGACCAATCCTTCCCGTTTCATTGTTTCAACATGCAAAAATGCATTGACATTCTAAATATGTAAGCATAATAAACTGACATTCTATTCAAAATCATCACCAACTTAAGAATATTGGCAACTTTTCATAAATAGCTGACTTTATATCAGTATAAGTAATAGTAATAGTTGCTTACTATTACTGAAATTTATTGTAAACTGTAACCTTTTAAACGAGTGTAACAATAGTATAATGTAACATGTGTCTTATATACTTGGAATTATACATTAGTTCCCAGTCTTTGCCATATTAATATAAGCAACCTTGCAGTAAAAAAGTCGAAATTGAATATAAAAGTATATTTGTCATAATCCAAGATTACTCAAAAACAGAAACCGTTCTAAAAAATCTCAAAGTCAAAGCTGAGCATAACTTAATATTAATCAATGTATGCATTATACTGGTAATGCCATTTGAAAAAAAAATATGTTATTCAATATCAATGTTAATGTGTCTTTATTTGGTAAACATTAAAGAAAGATGATGCTGTGCCCGGCTGTGCCCTTGTCCAGCAGCTTCTTGAAACAATCCAACTGCTTTTTCGTTATCTTTGGCTACTCCTGTTCCATATTTATAACACAAGGCTAGGTTGTATTGGGCCTTGGCATGTCCTTGCTCTGCAGCTTGTTGATAAAATTGAACTGCCATTTTGTCATCTTGCTCTGTTACAATTCCATATTTATAAAATAAGGCAAGATTATATTGTGCCTTGGCATCACCCTGTTCAGCAGCTTTTTGAAATAATTTATATGCTTTTTCATCATTCTTTTCTACTCCAATTTTATATTTATAACAAAATGCAAGATTGTATTGTGCCTCAATAATACCCTGTTCAGCTGCTCTTTGATACAATTCAACTACTTTTTGATCATCTTTCTCTACTCCAATTCCATACTTATAACACAGTGCAAAACTGTATTGTGCATTAGCATTGTCTTGTTCAACGGCCTTTTGATAAAATAGAACTGCTTGTTGATCATCTTTTTGCACACCAATTCCATATTGATAACAAACACCAAGATTATGCTGTGCACAAGCATGCCCTTGATTAGCTGCTTTTTGATATAACTCAATTGCCTTTTGAAAATCTCTTACTACTCCAGTTCCATTTTCAAAACATAAAGCAAGATTGTATTGTGCATTTGCATGCCCACTTTCAGCCGCTTTTTGATATAATTCAATTGCCTTCAAGACATTTATTTCCACACCTGTTCCATTTTCATAACATAAAGCAAGATTATATTGTGCTTTTAAAAGCCCTTGCTCAGCTGCCTTTTGATACAATTCGACTGCTAATTCATCATTTTTTTCTACACCTATTCCAGATTTATAACACAGTGCAAGATTGTATTGTGCATCAACATCTCCTTGAGCAGCAGCTTTCTGATATAATTTGATTGCTTCATGATCATTTCTAACTGTTCCAATACCATGTTTATAACATAAAGCAAGGTTGTATTGTGCATTAGCATATTCTTGTTCTGCAGCTTGTTGATAAAGTTGAAATGCTTTTTGGCTATCCTTTTCTATTCCAGTTCCATTTTGATAACACAAACCAAGATTGCATTGTGCTCGAGCATGTCCTTGCTCAGCAGCTTTTTGATAATATTCGACTGCCTTTTGATAGTTTTTTTCTACACCAGTACCATTTTCATAACACACACCAAGATTACACTGTGCTCTGCTATACCCTTGTTCAGCAGCTTTTTGGTAAAGCTTGAATGCCTTGTATTCATCTATTTCTAAACCACTTCCATTCTTATAGCATAATGCAAGATTATATTGTGCTCTGGCATGTCCCTGTTCAGCAGCTAATTGAAACAGTTTGGCTGCTTTTTGATCATCTTTTTTTACTCCAATTCCATTTTTATAGCATAATGCAAGATTAAATTGTGACCTGGCATGTCCCTGTTCAGCAGCTTTTTGAAATAACTCAACAACCTTTTGATCGTCTCCAGTTTTATTTTTACAAGTCAATGCAAGATTAAATAAAGCATTGGCATATCTTTGCACATCTGCTTTTTGATTACTTATGGCTACGCTTTTATAACGTGATAATGACGATACTGTATTTGTATGCATTGTTGCATTCCGAAACAGCTGAGCTTTCCTTGCAAATGTGCTTCCATTAACAAAATGATAACTCGTACCGATATTATATGCTAACGCTAATGTTTGTTTACTCATTTCTGATTATATTGCCGGCCGTTAAAATAACAATACTAATACATACTGAGTGTAAACCGTTATATATACATCGTGAAAGAGCAGATCGTACAAGAGGCTGGTGAAACGCTACTACATGTTTGTTTACACTGTGGAAGTATTTATAGCGACGAGAATGAGTCTATTGGCTAATACGGCAGAAGATATATCGGGAAACTATAATAATTAATTTACAGAAAACCTTATCTATCTAGTACAAGGCTTTCTATGTTCACTGCCGTAGCCACAATATGCATGCAAGGTTCATGTATACACAGCCAATAAAAAAGGGTGTTATACAATAATGAGTCTTTTTGCAGTATTGCATTCACAATTACCGATTGTCGACTTTCATTAAAAATTTTCGATTATCGACTTATTATTTATCCGATGGTTCAGAGACGGTTACATACGTTTGATTGTTTATACTGTATATATTATAATATATATCATGTGTAAGACGGAATTGACGATCAATCTCCATTTTAGATAGTCCCTATTCATATTCATTCACAAAACACAATTTAAAATCAGGGACAACTCTATTAGCCATTATACAGACGCCAGAGGGTAACGATAAATAGAGGATGACCTAATAGCGGAGTACAAAGTGATTGATTAAATCTGTAGGTCAACCAATGAAATTTACAAAATACTGTCGGTGGGTCTAATGTGAACTATGGTCAGCAAAAGGACAAAGTTCTATAACGATTAAAACATGGCAGTACTGTCAAGAAAAAGATTAGCATGCATTACTCGGCTAATACATAAATACTAGCTGTGATATCATATGACGCTAACGCACGTAATTTGGGGGGCGCACGTGTAAGAGGTAAATAATGTGACAACGATCAAGAGTTGTGAGTTTCGAAAAAGCATTCGATGCGAAGGTTCTCGAAATGAAATTGTTTATTTTGATAACATGATTCATGACATGTTATATGCTAATTAAAGATGCATTCCCTTCTAAGTATTAAATTCGTTATGCCATAACTGCAACCAAGTCAGGTCTGTTCATAATTTCTGGGTATTGTTTAGCCAATGCCCTTATCAATTCTATGAGTTCTTTGCGTATGTTCTCCTTTAATTGTCCTTCGGGTGGACCGAGAACTTTGGCAAATATGTTTAAAAGAATCGGTAACTGATTGAATACCTGTTACGACGAATTATATGATAGTTAAACATAATGCGAGAAAGCTCTATCATCACATCAACCACTGAAGCAGTAACTTACGAATGCATTATTTGCGCGAAACAGTTGGAATATACATTCGAAAACTGGTTCATTCTCTTCAAAGTCTTGTTTAAGCGGTAGCGTTGAAAACAATACTTGAAGAACCTGCTCCCGTAAAATCAAAAGTTCAGATAACAAACGTAAAACGTATTCCAACACATATAAATCAGATTTCTTACTTGTTCAAGTGGTACTGCTTCGGGATGAGCTAGAATCATCCTAGACACAGCCCCGCATGCATTATCCGCGATATTCACAAACGATGAGGCTCCGAATAATGAATGTAACGCCGTGAGTATTGCCGGATAGTGCCTATTTCGACATAAATTCGACGAGTTAAATTGAAAGATTAATGAAATAATAACTCGTTGGATGCACCACAACGTTATAAAGTTTCAGTCTCCAACTTACGACATTATGTCTGCTTTCGAATATTGGCATAAAAGACCAATACCGTAAGCACCATTGCTTCGAACTTCGTCTGCTTCATCGCCAACTGCTTTCAAAAACAAGGGCAATATCGTCTAACATATAGAAAGTAAGATCGCTTTGCTTGGGGTAATCCTCCTAAGTTGCAAACTGCACAAGGTATTTTAATACATACTTCAGTGAAGGGCGTAATTCCTTCTTTCAACCCGAGAGCACATTCACCCAAACAGCCAATGGCCATAGATCTGTCTGACACTGGTCTTGATTTTTTCTATTAAATAGTAATAACATACACCAAGTCAACGACAAGTAACCAAACTGACAAGAGCTATTTTCAACAAAATACTTACGTAGTATTTTTTGATATGCGGCAAGAATACTTTAAAGTATTCCGCGAATTCTGGTCCGATGACCAAGGCCATTGCAGCAACATAATCCGACGCCACGTCAATCACTTTGGCATCCAGTTCTGCCTCCTCATCGTCATCGAGAACCCCATCTTCATCACCCTGATCTGTTTGACAAGGATGCGTTTTTTCAAAGAGTTTCAACGTGAGGTTGGAAACTTCGTCCACGCCTATAAAAACGCAGATTGCGTTAATCATACAAGACACACATTCACAACAATAAAGACAATTATGTAAAAAAAGGTTTACAGTCTGCTATTATGCATGGACCACATTCTTTCAGCGTGATAACGAGTTGTTGACAGATTTCAATGACTACGGACCTAATTATCAGAATACGTTATCCACAATTAGATGCTTTGTGATAGCCCAAATTTCACTATTAACGCGTTGAACACATCAGTCTGAGAATAGATTTTGGCCAATAAAAAATTCAACGTTGAACTACTTACTTGGCCTCTTCATCTTCCCAAATGGCCACAATAGTAGACATTGCATATTTAACCATAGTTTCCACGTTCGAATGAACTGGCACTCTCTGTTTTACAACAGTGTGAATTACACGGTACAAACAACCAGCAAGCCGACGACGGAGTATCAAATACGTTTACTTTCTTACCAATGGAAGCCCAGGTTCCCATGGCGGAAGCTTAGCCATTTCATAGAATGTAACCATAAACCGACATAATGACCGTGCTGCCGTTTTTCTTACGCTATCGGCATGATGTGTTCCTAGTTTATTCAGCTCATTCACACAAGGTTCAACATATGGTAAGAAATCTGATTTCGCGTTGGTAAATATTTCACCGATCGCTTCAGCAGCAATCTCTTTTTCGTCAATTATGTCGTGATTGAATGCATAAGCGTCATCTTCTTCATCTGATTCACCCAGATCTTCTTCATCAGGCACTGGTTAAGAAAAGGTATGTGAGCACGCACTGTCCACTCACAACATATTTAAAACATACAAACTCACCTTCAATTTCAAACAAATCCTTTTCCTCAATCTGACAGCTCTTTATCAATTGTGGCATTATCACTTCAAGGTATGGTGCAAAATCACTGCCAAACACACGAGCCATTACCGAAAAAAAGCAGTAGCTGCATTCCCTTAATTGTGGATGGTCATGCTGCAAACCATCAATTGCCAACTGCATAAAGTTTGCAACGTATGGCTATTGAATCAAAAAAACTGGAATGTTTAGAAATCTTATGTAATAAATAGCATGTTTATATCATGGCTTCCGTGTTGAATACCTTGAACTCGTCGCGTCCAACAGCTTCGGCAATAGCACCAAGGGTGTCGGTAGCAACTCCGCGAAGTTTTAGATCCTCTTCAGTTTTTGATTTCGACATTAATAATTGCAGTTTGGGGATTGTCTGCGCAAAGTATGGTTTAAACTCCTGCATAATGATAAAAGTTTGCATCGGTGAACATTGAGAAATAAAACTATCATATAATTATAATAACGCTAGACTGTATTATAATCACCCCATTAGCTGCATGCGCTGCACTGCCAATTGCAGCAAACACAGGAATAGCTCTCTCTCCAGAGACATGATCTGCCAGTGTTAATAACTTTTGCATCACTGCAGGCAAATATTGGACAATTATCTCTTCATCCAAGCTTTCAAGAATGGCATCTAATGCACCACAGGCTTGTTTTGAAATTTCTTGATTTGGATCATCCAGAAGATTAAATACTAGCGGCATCAAAGTCTTGTGATTCTCAGTTACTTCCTCTTCAAGTTCGCCTAAAAACAATCGTACGCCAAAGTTAGATAAATGATTACTCACATAGATAAAGACGGTGTATGTGAAATATTCCAGGCGAAAGGACAAGAAATAGTACTTACCGGCAAAACAACTCAAAGCAATGCAAGCCGCTTTCCTGACAATTGTTTCTGGATCCTGTAAGCCAGAAACGACGAGAGGCAGCAAGTCATTGAACTTGGGGCGAATATATTCGGCACACCCTTCTACAAAAACCTAAACAAGTAGTGAAGAAAGCATGAGTCAAGTTTACGCAAAAGTAAGAAACTGGTTCAGTACTATATACGTACAGCAAATGCCATCATTGCGGCCTTTCGATATTTTGGATCGTGATTCTGCATGTACGCAACCACATGCTCCAGGATTACTGGAAACACTTGTTGAGGTGGAAGCTGCGTCGAAATAGAATTGATTACGCGGAAAGCCATCTACAAATTTTTATGACAAAGTTAAAGAAAATGATATAATCAACTAATAAAACGCAATACGTAAATTAAGAAAAAGCATACTCTTGACGGAGAATCTTCGTTTACATCCTCGGGGTCATTCTCAGTTCCTATCGGCATTAATCGTGAAATGATTGGATTGACAAGCTTAAGGCGCTGAATTTTCGCCTTTTTACTACATAAATAGATAATTTGTCAAAGATTAATCAGTTCTTATATACAATAGCCAGCACACACAATGAGGCAACTCACTATGTAGAAACCCAGACCATAAATTGCAAGGCCATTATACGCATCGACTCTTCATACTGTTGATTTCCAGCCACGTTCAAAAAGAACTCGATCAATTGCGCAATATGTTTCGACAAGAGTGGAGCTTCCTATAATTTGTTTTACAGAGAATCAGGCCACGTTATTTCATTCACGATCAAAATATTTGAACAAATTGCACGGTAAAAAAACATACAAGTAAAATCAGTGTATCAAACAGTTCAAACCCCTTTGTTGCTGCATCTTCGTCATTCTCAGAGAGCGCCTGCTGAAGCACATTGACCATTGATGGAACTAATTTTTGAAATTGAGCCTGATGACCCAAATTGATAAATTGATCAACCGACTAACGATCATAACCGAATTGGACATCAAAATTATAACTTACGATATCATCCTCCTCTTCAATCTCAATGAACTCGGCAATTTTACCAAGAGCTCTAATTACGTGTTAGATTAGTATTTAACATCTGAATTCTTGTCACCTTGCACACAACCCTTCTTAAACCTATGCTGAATTCCCACATCCCATGCCCACTACTATACATTATTCAGGCTCAAACAACTTACTGTAGTGTAGTAATTCTCACGTCTTTGCTTTCGGGGTCATTCAAAGACCTACTAAATAATTCGAATAGTTGTCCCCGATGGTCGTTGAATACGTCTGTGATTACTTCAAATAGAGAATATAGGACGTAGACTCCAACCTAGGGTTGCAAAAGCCAAAAACAAGATTCAATCAATGTACTCAATTGTCGACCCAAATTATTGTCGCTTACCTCGCGATGACCCGCATTAGGACTTTGACAGCATTGGTACAAAAACTCTAGCAAGTTGTTCCATTGTCCAACAGGAAGTTCTCCATTGGCAATTGCTGAAATCGCCCGTGCGGTTGAATGTCGGACAAGCTTACTGTGAACAGATCGTCATCATGAGCAAAAAATGTATATCCGATTTCTGATTAAAAAAACATGCGCTTACTGGGGCTCTTGTAATATGACGTCAAGTAATCTCGCCTTAATTCCCGCATTGATATTCTGATCAAGCTTTGACCACCATTGATTCGTGTACTTTCGCAATTCAACAGCCGCTAGTTGTCGAACCTAAACATATGAGATTTTTCGTTAAACATAATGATCGTACTTGGGTCCGACATTCCTTTCATAAGTTGTTGTCTTCAGCTTGCCTGCCAATGTTCGGACTTTGAAAGTATTTCTACAAGGGCAGGTATACATTTAGGTTTGTTATAAAATTGGTTATCAAGGGTTTCTGTTGTCTATTGCGTTTTCGTGGGGAAAACAAAATACACGTATTAAATTTAGATCGGTTGCAACTTTTGTCGAGAAAAATCATTTGTAAAGGCTTACATTACGTATTGTCGCGGTATCTGTCGCATTAAAGATTAACTGATTCAATAGTGCATTAAGACCCGTGCAGAATTCCTACTCATATTCAACGCGCGTGCACGAGAGTATAGTATGCATAAAGTATTTCAATATGAATAACTGTCAACTTGGGTTGTCATGTCTTCCACATTTGTACGATTGAGAGTAAGCAACACGCTTAAACAGCTTCTTTACCTCCATTTATTACTCCAATGAACGCAAAAAAAAAATGGACCAAAAATACACACTTGTGGTTTTCAGTAGAAGCAATTCTGCGCCGTCTTACTTTCAAGAAATGTATTGGTTTACTTGTCAATAATATTCCTTTTGCTATAAAGGTTCGCGAAAGAATAAACAGACAAAAAATTTTCCCTAACATTTTCGGATGATTTACTGTGACCTGCCGATTACATCATAGAATAGTATGTCGATCGTTAAACCGATTGCGTTCACGTGTTACAGAATACATGTAATAATTATTTACGAGAAATGCGCATATTTACCCCGTAGGGTTTAACCAAGTCGTTTATTCTTCCAAATCGCGTAATTCGGACCATGCTATTCTTTGATTAATATTAAGTGTATGCCATATTCATTGCGCAGTAATTACATTCTGTGTCACAGTACACAAATTTTAATATTTGTAATACCGACAGAGCAATCAGCTTGTATGCTATGTAAAGATGGAATATTTAGGACTCGGGATGCGAGCATTGTGAGAAGATGAATATCATTCTGGATATTATGATATGCTAATAAGTGTAGATGGTTTACTCGGTTCCTTAATAAAGTGGGATCGACTTTTCCCCAAATTGACGAGACGCAACTTTTTAAAAAAAGTAAAATAGATATTTTTGCATCTTCGATAGGTAATAACTTTCTTCCTCCTGTTTGTCTGAAACGGTATAATCTTCCTTCAAAATGGAATCCATGTTATATAATTTAATTTTATCCTGTTAAATTCATATTAGTTCTAACCTTTAATTATGGTCCAAATATCTCCCACGCTGAGAATACGCAAACTGCTTGCATAGTAAATTTAGCAAACTTTTCATAAGTTAATCAACGCGCGACTTTATTACAATATTTGTAGCGCGAGGTGGTTTTATCTCTCCGAAACACACTCCAAAAGTTTGTTTTGCCAATACCAGACTCTCTATTATCAATGTAATTAGCAGAAAACATATATCAAAATTAGTGCAAATAAACAGAAGGGAAAAAACCTCTTATTTTGATATAACCGAACATACTATGGTAAATAGTGTTTGCTTACCCGCTATTTTATAATTCGCTGTATTAAAATTTCAACGGACAGTATCAATAAAATAAAAGTGTTCTTGTCCATAGTATTATTTGCATTGTGGGTTATGATATATTTAAGACTGTATAATTATAAGTGCACACTTAGTGAAAGACAAAATAACAAATTCTTTGTTTAATAATTTCTAGTCACAAGTTGAACGCATTCAATAATACTGACCTCTTTCCATTGAAGTATCATAATCAGCTAAACGTTAACCGATAAACGTCTGTGTAATGCACGCCTCCGAATTTGATCATTACAATCTATATCTTCTATCACGTACAGACATCTTAAAAATATTGAAAAGGAAACTCAGTCACTCTGCATAACAAGATACTTACATATTGGTTTGGTCGTGAACCTACTAATTTCTATACCGACTAAAAATAAGTGCACCTAATTATTTCCGTAACAATTACGATAAGCAATTGTTTCTAGTGTGAGTGCTTTATTATGCAATAATCTAAATGGTAAATTATTGAATTAGTCTCACGGTAAACATATTGAAAGCCCAGAAGATTGCTTAAAAGGATCAAATCTTAACGCTGTCTTTTCCATAATTGTTGGCATAACGTACATCCGGTATATTCTATTAATGTACGCATTCTTATCTTAACGATGTTAGAAGTACTTTGGGGAAAATATCTGTAGAACTGCAGAGTCATTGTTACAATATAGATTAGAAATAAGCTTACGCACATCACATAACAATAAATATTTAATGATCAACAACCTTTTATACCACTGCGTTATTAACTTCTTCAATAGCAGAATGAGTTTATTCCAATTGTCCGTTGCAATGATTTTTGTGGAGAAATATTTATCGATAAACAAGTAGCAAAAAGAAATGTTTGTATATTATATAAGGTAATCTCATCCAAGCATCGTTAAGACCCGTCCAGTCGGTTGAACAGAGAGCAACGCAATAATCTTAAAGCAAATGTTAAAAATTCGATTACGACCAACCTTTTGGAATAACAACTGCAAAAGGTGTTCAATACGCATGTTATTCGAAAAACGTCAGTTTTATTCTTTGCAAAGGTTACGTACCGTATTATTGAGCGAGAATGTTCCTTCGATATTAAGCTGCCCTCTTCCCTAAAATTTCTGCAACGAAGTCTCTTGAGTCGTATTCAAAAGCGCGCGTCGCCGTATAGTAAATACCTTAGTCATCCTACGTCTTGTTCAAATTCCTGTCATTCAACACATATATTGTAAATCGGTTTGCGGTTTAACGTTTATGGAACCTTGTTACTTAAGTATGCACACAGTCGCAAGCAAATAATATTAATTATATAAACTTTACCATTTCTCCTTGACATCGTGTCATCATATTCCTTAGCAAAAATGCTTTAATTAAAAAGTGCAAGTTATTTGCCATAAGATCAATAGACTTGCGTACGCGACGTAAAGGCCAGAGTAGCAATTTGTCGTTTGCTTGATAGAGAGCATGATAGCCAAATTTCACTAGAAAAAAACGTCTAGTATCTACGTGACAAGCCATGTTGAATTTAATTAAAAAGAGTATAACTGATTATCAGCATATATGCGATAAAATCAGCGCACTTACTAGACAATAAGATTTCCGCTGAGTAGTCACTCACAATGTTGGCAAAAAATTTTTGCGTTTACTTCATCTCGTGAGTTATACTTACAGCCATAGCCCAATAGACTGTTATATCACGTATTTGTATTTGCTTTTCAAGACAAAAGTAGATATTTGAATCAAAAATGTGCATGTACATTGCAGATCATAGAATAATGAGGAGCTCGGAACACAAAACCATGAGAACTGTTACTCA